GGGAACGTCAACACCAACTGAATATTTGACAGGTAAATGAGAATTAGTGAGACTAAAAAAAGAGTTGGAGCACCACGCTAAATACCGTATTTCGGTATATACTGGACATGGCGTTTAGAAAGATTTAAGGATAAAATCTCGTCTATTCACCTTAAGACTATATTCATCTCTTTAAACCGATTTATATTCGTTCATGAATGAAAAGGGTTACAATTGGCGAAAAAAGTGATACATTTGTATGTATGTATTTGTCTACTTTTGAGATTATGATTTTTATAAGTGTCACACATTGTATTGAGTTAAAAACCTATGAGAATAGCTGGCTGGTACATGTATATAACAATGATTTAATGTGTGCTTTTACTTTCCCTATAAAGATGTTATCAAGAACTCGACAAATGCATTTTCCCTATCTAACTTAGTCCCGGGCGTAACAGCTTCACGGTGAACTACCCTTCACAAGTGTTCAATGCATTGCGCATATTATCGATATACATTTAACGAGTTGTAACTTTGCACCTCGGAATAACATGAGGAAAAACATACAATTGCCGATTTCCGGTGAATCTCTTTTTTGACAGTTGTTGTTATTTAAGCGTTTATTTATATTGACCGCCGAGACGAATCCACATGAGCAAGAATACCCTCATACTTGCTGGTTCGATCTTACTAACCACAACAGCGTCGTCTTTTCATGCAGAATCTTCCTCGATCTTTTCTTCGTGTAATGGTGGTTAGGATTAATATACTTTAACGTTATCATCTACCAAAAACTGCTCTTGTTATTACCACCATCTTTAGTAAGTCACGGCAGGTCAATCAATTATTTCTGGAAATTTATATGATTTGGTCTTGACCGGCCGCGTGCCGTGGCGTGCACGCATCGGGAGAGTTTGAAGAAAATTTGACCGCTCGGTTTGGTCGGCCGGAATTCTACGTTTATAAGGGTCCATTCGACCTTTCATGTACTAAATGCACCTTTTGCTGTTGAGTATGGACCCCGGACATGTCACCAGTTATAACCTTAAAGGGTTTATTTTGAAGGTCAAGGTGGTGATAATTTACCTCCTGTATCAGCCAAAGATATGAATTTTGAGGCCAATGTAGGTTACTGTATGGCAACCAATGAGAACCTTAATGTACAGTTGAATTACCTAAGGGAAGGGCTGATGGTGCCAAGAAAAGGGCCTGTATTTCAAACCGTCAATCTCTGTGCTAGTGGCTCATTTTTCGTATATGCTTTGTAGATTTTTTTTCGCTACAGTTGAAAATATTTTCCGTACTTTTACTGGTGTCTCGATGTACACTTTTTAGACGACACACAAAATTCGTACTTTTCGAATCATAATGTCAAAGCAGAGAAAAAATATAGAAAAATTAGAAGATTCAAGTCTTTAATCTATAAATACTGGATTTTTATATTTATTCAGTCGATGAAAATAATTTTCGTATTTCGTAGAAAAAAATGAATATCATCTTTATGGAAATCTTTATGGAACATGCGAGAGACAAAAACCTTTTTATACGAGAGGTAACACATGACACATGACGGTTATGTTGTAAATCAAAGGGCTGCAGTTCTATGGTATTTTCTGATCTTTGCAATCTAAATCATACTGACTATCTGTATGTACTTTCCCGTATAAGTTTTTTTTATATACTATAATTCATCTTACGCAGCGACAGCGTTTTGATTTTCTTCAATAACAGTTTGAGATTTACATACGGAATTTTGCATGAAAAAAAATAGAATTGCCTCGACTAGGATTTGAACCAGAGGCCTCTCACACCCTCAACGAGACCGTTTACCTCTGCACCACGGCGAAGTTATACATATGAACCTTGAATAAAAACGAATACATAATGTAATTCTAAATTGAGAATTTCCATTTCGTGTTTGTAATCCTTATTAATTTCGAGGTATTTTGTTCACGATAAACGTGTTGTTTAACACTGATGAAAATAATTTATCGAAAATCTTCTCGCCAAAACATTCCGACATGTATATATTCCACTACTCGACAGTCAGATTTATTTGTGTACTACGCTCTGGAATCGGTAATCGGCATAGCTAAAAATAGCATTTTCATTGATTAAAATGATATTCGTGATAATCCGAAGCTTTACGGAAATGGCCGAACATTTTTCATTGGGTAAAAAAGATATTCACCCGCGAAATTTGTGATTGTAACCTCATGTTTCTATTGACTAATCTAAACTTTAAATTCACTGTAATTCGTTAAATGCCTACATTAAAAATTATTCTTTGCTGGTTTTTAAGCAGTTTTGAGTGAGAACTACTTTGCGTTGTTAGGACTGTTAGGAAATTTTGTGTTAGACCGTGGATGTTAGCTATGCATTTACTGATCTTACGATCAGAAAATACAAAAAAATCTATATTCTACCTTCAAATATCATAAATGATTCTTTTTTCTTATCCGGGAAGGATATCGCATAAAGATTAACTATTTGGTACAAATTGAAATATTTATCTTCTTGTCTTCTAAAGTTTGACATCTTTACGAAATGTCAGTCTCCCTTATATTAGATCTATATATATTTTTCATGAATTTATACACAAGTTATATCCTGAGCACTTTTCTGTTTCAGTTAATCCAGATGAGAATTTCAGTATAAATGGAGGTAAGGATTCCATAACGGAAGCGTTTAAGACAACTTCGAAATATGCAAAGATACGTATCGACATGAAGGTGAAATATGTGTTTTTATTATTAAATCTATAAAAGCTTTGAAATGAGTTCCTCTGATTGGCTGAAAAGTAACTTTTGGTAAAAAATAATAGCTCAATATGATACTTTATTATACAATCTATGAAAAGCTTTAAATTGCGTTTCTCTGATTGGCTAAGGGGTTAATTTTTAAAAACATAAGATATCAATATCGGAGTTTATTATATAATCTATTAAAAGATTTGAAATTCGTTTTTCTGATTGGCTAAGAAGTAACTTATTGTTAAAAAATACAGGTCAATATTTTTTTATATAATAATATATATAGAGATTTGAAATGCGTTTCTTTGATTGGCTAAGAAGTAACTTTTTTGTATATATAACAGGTCAATACCAGAGTTTATTACATGGTATATAAATATCCACCCGGTGAAATATCTTTGAAATGTCTTACCCTACTTGCCTAAGAAGTAACTTTTTGTAATAAAATGATAGGTCAATATATAATCTATAAATAGCTTTGAAATGCGTTTCTCTGATTGGCTAAGAAGTTACTTTAGTGGTAAAAACACGTCAATTTCAGAGTAAATTCACTGGTTTTTTTTTGTTTTTGTTAAAAATGATTTCCAGAGTATTCTCACCGTTTTTTTTACCTGAATATCGATTTATTTTCTGGTTATCTCAAAAAAGAAATTACAAATATATAGAGGATATTCAAGTTTTTTCTATAAATACATGATTTATTTTCATCGAGTGGTATGAAAATAAATATTTCATGAGTGGCGGTAGCCACGAGTGAAATAGGGTAATTGTCATGCCACAAGATGAAAATAAATCATGTATTTATAGAAAAAACTTGAATTTTCTATTTATTATATACATTTTTCTCTTTTTTTTGCGATAAAATTAGAAAGACTTTCCCTTAAATTTTGTGTACTGGCAGAATTTAAAAGAAAGTAGTTCCGGGGAGACACCAGTGAAAATACGGAAAATATGTTTCACTGCAGTGAAAAATAATTTTTTACAGTGAAAATACGGAAAATGAAAATACGCATTTTATTTCATCAATATTTCTCAATATTTCATTTATAAGTATATAATAAATGACGTGACGTCACGACCCGTTTGTTGTTATTATTCCGGAAAAAAAGTTTGATGACTCGCAAATATAAGACGAATAAGTCTATTTTAGTTACCGTCTTTACATTTTTAAGAACAATGCGAATTTAGCGCCCAAATGCGACAAAACAAAATTATGGAAAATTTTGACAAGCTGAAAAATGTCGTTTCCAATGGCTATCGCCTCAGTCAGTTCATATCCCATCGTATTAACTTGCTCAAAGTCGAAAAACTAACATTTTATACATATTTCAAACGTTGATTTTATTTATTTCCTTATTTTAGTAACTAGTTATTGCTCCGTCATGAAGGTTAAATATTAATTACATAAAAACTGTTTTCATTTTTGCTACAGATTTATTATGATCTAACTTTTAAAATACAAACTGTAATTACATGTTTTTATAGTAAGGAAACTGAATGAAGCGAAATTTGTGATATGTGTGCTTTACTTAGTTTGTTTGTTTGTTTGTTTGTTTGTTTCATTTTACGCCTTTTTCCAACAGTATTTCAGTCAAATAGGCGGGTAGTTTCCTTACTGCGAATTGCATATTTCAATGAAAGATACATACAAATTATGTAAATCGCACGAAAATAGGCACGTCGCAGCCGTGACTCGAACCACGGGTATCTGGGTGGCCGATCCAGCATGCTAACCACCACACCACAGCGACCGTTGCGTTTTCTTTGTGCTAATTGGCCTTATATATATATTTTAAGTTTGAATTATGTACTAGGATATGACAGTTAATAAAGGCGACACTACGTTCGCGGAGATCGTTGGTGCAGGGACTTCGTACGTGAGTTATGCCCAGGCAGAGACGTGTAACTGTAACTGGGGTTGTAAACATGGAACATTTAGTATATCTACAGAGGGTACAGGCTTCAAATTCAGCTCTTCGGTAAGATCAATATTGACTTTTAAACATTGTGAGACTATCGTTTACAAGAAAAAACTATAAATTATAAAGAACCATTATACAATATGTAATAAAAAAAACATTTTTAAAATTTTAAGGATTAAGATTTTGCATGTGTTTGGATGTTAATTTCTCAATTTTGAAATTACGTTATTAAAAATGACTCCTGTTGTGATGCTTGGTTCGTTGTCCGTCTGAGAACTTTCCTGGTATTCCTAGAAAATTATGTTCAGCGTTTATGGTATACCATGATAATTGATGTGTATAAGTAATAGAAAGAGCACCGAAACACGAGGCTATCTGATTTGTACGAGGGGTCGTAGCCCCCGAGTATTAATCAGATTGCCGAGTGTTTTGGTGTTCTTTCTCTTTTGTATCATAGTCAAACATAAAAGCACGTTCCCTGTTGTCACAATATGAAACCCCGGCAAATATGAACCAATTAACGAACATCTGAATATGACATTTCTGTCGCTTTCCCTTTCTCTGTCGTCACAGTATGTAAACCCCAGCAAAAATGAGCCAATCAATGGGCATGCTCTGGAGTGCGGGTAACTAATACCCGCACTCCAGTTAACGCACTGTGCATGTATATGAATACGATTTAACCCTGACACATTTTCAACAGAAAGGTCTCAAAACTATGATACAATTAATTCATATAATGATTTTTTTTTTTTTGTTTTTTTTTTAATTTCTTTATATTAATGTGTACATGAATACGCCAATGTAACCAGGGTCTTTCAAATAGAAAGATCCTCATGTAAGGTACACTAACTCAAATATGGCAGTTTCATGTAGAAACATATATTGCAGTGTTTGCTAGATCTAATCAATTTATGCTATGACAAAACTCGAAATAATCTGAACAAGTAAAAGCAGTTTTACCTCGTCCGAGTATCTTTTTCTAAAGATACATATTCTTTTTCCTAAATTTGCATCAATTCATGTTTATCAATTTGTATATAACAAGTTGTCCGTGAGTGGATTCGGATGGCAGCCATATGTAGGACCTCTTACTAAAAATAATGACAACACGAAGATGTCAGCAACTTGCGGGGGATATTGCGGCGGTTGTGAACCAAGTGGGTCCCTCTATCTATATCATGATGAAAACACAGGTATGTAGAAATTTATCACCCATAAAGAAAATTCATTTCAAATATAGCAGCGAACGTATATTTAAAGTGACATTATGCCCATTTAAGGGTGACTGAACAGGTAAAAGTCGAAATACGAGGTGTGTGCAAATATGAATGCAACTAGGCCCATATTTCGCTTTTAACCACGTTTTGCACGAACTTTGTACATGTATAGCAAGGACGGTTATGTAAGCTCTCAATTGATACAATACATGTGTAAATCAGTACAGTCTAGCTTTCACAATAGCTCTACTCGTGTAAATTAAAGCTACAAGTAAAATGGTTTCCTGCGGGGAATGATATAAAGATATTTCATTTAACTATTTTCAACATTGTTTTGGGAGAGGGGAATAAATAAACGTTTGTATCAGGAATATAGTTGACAATAATCGATCAAAATAGAAGACTGGTGACCGTTGATGACCGGAGAAGGTCGAACATAAAACAATTACATGTACATGTATTTCTTTTTAAGAAAATGAATAAATAGCCTACCATTTTATGAATAATTCCAAGCAAAAAAAATAAAATAAAGAAAACACACAAGTTGACGCAGAAAATATCTATATTTGTTATGACAGATGCCACTACGAATATTTTAATTTTGTAGATTTTCAGTATATACAATTTATTGTTTGTAAAATTTGAGATACAATGATAACTTTCAAATACATCATTCAAGTTTTTTCCACCTTAAACGGTAAAATAATTATAGAAATATCACGTAACAGTTTTTTGTTCTTAATTATGTGTAATTCTGACTAATTCCATAGAGGTAATTCCATAACGTACCGACAGACGGTATTTAGCCAGGTTTTCGAAAAGGTCAATTAACCAATCGTGTACGGTTTACAGATCACATGCTCCTCCATGTAGCGAAAACAGGTCACGTGCTCCTCCATGCCTCAAAAGTTAAACGCGTACCAATACCAATGATTAGGAAAAGGTCTCCTTTCACTAACAAAATGCGGTCCTATATCAAGCGCCGCTGTATTCTTGGTATATAGGCAAAAGACATATTTAATTAAATATGTCGTGTTTATGGGAGCAACGAACTTTCTTTTCCATTTGTCACGCGGTTGTGTAAGAAATTTAAAAGTGATGTGGATTCAGTAAAATATGCATCTCATGAACGCCATACGAAAATTGCAACTTCACCAAAAAAGGTTAACAAAGTAAAGGATTTGATTGCTACTGATGCAAGATTTACAACTACATATATAGCTAAATCCGTTGGTATCCCTGTAGGAGCTGCTCATACAATTCTAAGAAGCGATTTTAAAATGAGAGGGAAACCTGTAAGATGGATACACCATCTCCTTTCAAAAGAGCAAAAACTTGCTCGGGTAAGAATCTCAAACAATTGTTGAAACAGTTCTCTAAATACAACAATCGAAGTGTATCATCACTGGCGATGAGAGTGGGTACTTTTATGCGCCCAAGCGAAAGATATATAGCAAAAAATCGGCAACCAAAGGAAGTCAAAAACTTAGCAAACCAAAATGCACCATGATCGTCAAAAAGGTCATGTGTGTAATTTTTCTACCACGCAAGGTCTTGCTATTCAAATTCCCGAACCAGAGGTAAAATCTTTAAATGCCAAGTTTTACAAAGGCAAGGTCCTTCACAAATTAAAGAAATATTTAAAAAACCGTCGACCAGGAACTAGTCTCCATGGTTACACAAAGCGACCATTGTACGAGAATATCAGAAACAGGAAAAGGTTATCGAGCTCCTTCACCCTCCTTATTCGCCAGATCTTGCCCCATGTGACTTTCCAATTACCGAGGCTCAAAAACACCTTGCCGGATGAAAAAAAAAATCAAACTCGAAAAAAACTCGGTTCGGCTATTTACCAGTGTCTGAACAGTTTACCTAGAAAAGATGAAAACACATTTGAAAAATTTGATTAAAAGACTAAAAATTTGTTCACGTATATCACATGGTGGTGAGTATTTTGAAGAATTGAGATAATTATTTTGACACTGTTTGTGAAGCACTTATAAAAATTGACCCGGTTGCATTCATATTTAAACACCCCCTTAAAAAGTGTACATTTTGCAATTATTCCTTTTAATTTTATAACAATATTTGCATGAACGATAAATAACTCACGTGGTCCAAGGAAATTTCTGTTAATATCCATTGTAATGTACCTGCAAAGTGCGCGACTCACATACACACACACAGTGGAACAGAGAGCAGTCTTTTCAATATTGAATTACGCAAGAGAGCGGAGTATTACCATCAATTTAACATTTTTTAAAAACAGTTAATCAATCACCATTATAACAGTCAATCTTTTGAAAGATATTGTCAATTCAGTTAAACTAGACAATGAAAAAAATGAGCATTATGTCGATTTTTAAGTTGTTTCTTAATTGCTTTGAGCATTTCCTGTCACAATGAAATGAAATAACCTGAGTTACCTGACAGGTGAGCTTGAGTGCAACTGAGTTGCCCACGTCTTGCTTAGAATGGTGGACATGGTTCTATATTTATACTAACAATAAGCAGCAAGTTCTCGGGTAGGCGTACTGAACAACTTTTGTCCCGTTTATGAATCTTTATTTATAACATACAATGAGAGATGTTGCCAAAGAGACATGTATAATAGTTTAAATGAGTTGACAGCCCATTTGCGTCGATATAGCATAGAATAGAGAGCTCCCTTTGTCAGATGCGCAGGTCGCTCATCCCTCTTACTCGTGATATGGAAACTCGGGAGTGAACATACTCCCTGGAAAGAGTTCCTTTTTCCTATTATAACCTCAGGAACTTTATTTGTGTAATTGTGTGCAGGATTATCATTTTGTAAACCTTAAACACGAGGAACGAGCGGACTATTCATGTCATATTGCAAATCTAAATTTATACTGCTCGTAAATCTAAAGCTTAACATATTAACGCAAAACCTAGTCAACAACTGTCTTACGGTCATGCAATTATTTATCAGCGAAATGCATACCTGAAGCGCTTTTGCGACTCCACAGCAAGAGCACCGCAAAGGCGGGGCAATAGACGTCCGAATGAAAATTTGTATAAGTAATCAAAAATAATCTTTCATTTAGGGAAGAGATTCAATCAAGAAACTTGTTCATCTTAATTGTTCTTATGATTTTATATGACATCCAATGTGGTGACATGTTTTACACTAGGTGCACAATTCATCAAACGTTTATAGTGGTCTACTAGGCAATGCTACATGCCAAATAAAGAGGCATTGCTTTTATTATGTGTTTTCCTATACCTAAGTCTACATAAATCAGATGAGTACCGGGGCAGGGCAAATTTTGACAAGAGAGTCATGAATAATATGACTTTTGTAGAAATCTATAAATTGTTGCTATTTTTTTCTTCTTAGGGTCATATTTTGATTTAATGGGCATGTTATGTATCAATTTTGAAGAGGGTCAACAAGGCAATATGCTATATGACAAATATTTAAACTCTGAATATCCTCAAAGTAAGACTGAAATACAATAAGTGACCCCAGGGGGCGAAGCTATTATTGACTCAAAGGGCGTGATTAATATTGCAAAATATTCAAAATTATTAATATACAAAATTATATTAACTAAGTGACCCCTAGTGCGAGACAAATATAGACACATCGACTTATTATAAGTATTATTTCTGCCAAAAAAGTTTTATAATTTCCATCGGTTCAAAAGATACAAAGCGGACACGAAATTTTGAAATTCATACATAGTGGCCTTGATCCTGACCTACGGAAGGTCAAGCCAGCGCTCTGCACAGCGTCTTATTAACATTTCTGCCAAGTAGTTTCAATTTCTTTCCACCGGTTCAAAAGATTCTGACGGATGGACGAACGACCGGGTGCATAACATTATATTACGCTGAAATTTCTTCGGGCGTATTTTGACATGACGTCATTTGCGTTATACAAACATAGCGTTAAGTAATTATTCGTTTTATCGTAAACAGTTCTTACTAGGGCGTGATTAATGGAATTTCCGTATAGCTTCCTGACTAAATTCATCGGAGTTGTTGAATAAAATTATGTTATTCAGATCGTTCAAAAGATCAGTATTGAACATATCTCTACACATCAGTAGCTTATATGCATTAAATAGCGACATATATATCATGACATTGCATGAAAGTAATTCTTTGGCATCACTTCTTATATTTACAGTGGTTGATGAAAGCAGCGCAGTCCTCGCCAAGTGTGTCTGAATCAAGGATAGTTTTTCATACCATTTGCTCAAAGATGAGGATGAATCATTCTACGCGAATTCAGTATCTTTCCATCTACCCTTATGCCCCCTCGACGGAGACATTACTTAATGTCACAAGATAGCAGTTGCAAATGAATAAATTATACCTAAAAAACAGTTAAATTGTGCACGAAACTGGCACTAGCACCAAACTTTATATCCTTGTTGTTGCTTTAGAGAATTGATTTCTTTTACATACAATGACTATAGCCTTCTTGTAAAGTTATTTCTCTTTTTATTTTATTTCAGGCTTACTTTCAATAATGTACAATTATAAGCAAATGTTGAGTTTAAAAATTTCTGTATCATTGGTTTTTGTGAGTTTATTTTTTTATTTTTTTATTTATTTATATATTCATTCATTCATTCATACATTCATTCATTCATCCATTTATTTATTTATTTATTTTGGAGGGCGGTTGGTTTTTTGTTGTTGTATATTTTATTTTTTTGTTTTGTTTTTTTTTTGTTTTTTGTTCTTATTATTATTACAAATAAATCTATTGCATATAGTTATGAGTTTTTTTTATTTATAAAATGGTGCTATTTTGTCAGTTGTGGTTAAATTATGCAATCGTGAAAGATGAAGTACCGAAATAATTGATAGATCCCTACTCTGACCTTTTATTTGAATAACAATAGATTTAACCACAAACATATTGACATGTGTACCTTTGATAACAAATATTTATGGTGTGGTGAAAATCTTATTGTATTCACTAATCTGATAATTAGAATAAGATTAGTCAGGGATCTATGCATCAACGATTAAGTCATCCCAAAATTACTGTTTTCTGGGTGACATAACTTGAAATCACGTCTATTAAAACCTGTTAGTATGACAAATCGTAGTCTATCTTGCCCTACATAAAATGCGCTTGCGCAAAATGCAACATCCGTTACTATGGAAAAATTGTATCATAAAAAGGTCTATACTAGTAATTTAAACTAGAAAGAAACAAATGAAAAACTACAGTACAGGTTTAACATACTTAATTGATATGCTGCGTTATCTAGTTACTTCTTACTTAGGAAGGGTTACAAAATATTAAAATATATCTAGTAACGCAGGAATGGGAAAATAACACAGGAATGGGAAAATAACGAAGGAAAATATAACGCTTACGCAGAAATGGGAAAATAACGCAGAAATGGGAAACTAACGCAGACATGGGAAAATAACGCAGGAATGGTGCAAAAGTAACACAGATTGGGCAATTCCATTACAGAAGCGAGCACCACAGTTAGTAAATGAACCAACATTTCTTATAATAAATCAAATTGAAAGAATTAAAATAGCGCAAACGATTGCTCAGACAGACATTGTATTTCTAGTTTGATTAAAATATTTTTAGGGACTGTGAATAGTCATCAAATTATTTACTTAAGACTTTTTTATGAATATATCCAATTAAAACAAATAATACTTAGTAGAACAATAAGATTAAAGATCCTGTAACACAATTTTTTCATGTTTTTATTTCATAAAAACAATGCTCAAATTAAGATTTGTCAATATTGTAAGTTCCAATAAGCATGATTTACAAAGATATTACCGAAATTAACATTTCATGTAAATAAAGGGAGGAAATTAAAAATTTATTTTTCTATAAATTCTAAGTTATAATTTTTTTCCAATAAGAAATGAATGCATATCATTCATTGATTAAATATAATGTGCACAAATCTTTGCAGTACACATTTTACATATTTTTCGATGTTTGAAAATTGTTTAATTTGCATAATTATATACATATAAAAATTTTTTGCAAGTGTGGTATTCAAACAGTAACAAAATTAATCACAAAACATACAGGATCTTTAAACATGTAATTAAAGTGTTCATTGATTTTATTTACCAATTTTAATGCTTTAATTTCCTTTTTTTTTAATATCATTTTAATGTACATATCTTCCAAATATCATTCGTGACTGAGTGGTTAATGTCATTGACTTCAAACCACTTGGCCCTCACCGCTGTGGGTTCAAATCCCGTCAGAGACATTGATTCTTTCATGTGAGTAATCTGTCCAGCTAGTGGTGTGCCTGGAGATGCACCTCAGATATCCATCAGCCAGTAAAGCTGAAAAGAGACCAAATGAACTCTACTCTATTTGTGCGACTACAAAAAAATCAGACAATACAGAATGCAAATAACACAGAATTAAATGGTTTGAGTGATTTAGCACTGATTACTTAAAACATGTTACCATTCAGATATGCACAGACATTTATCAAAGATAGATTGCTAGTTCTCTTACCATTTGTCCATCAAGATAAACCGGGCCTTTGTCGAGTCAGTCAGTACTATTTTCACTGTAAATCAAATTTACAATATTTATTGTTAAAGTTAGATTAATAAATGAACAAGTGACTCAATATATCAAATTGAATTTTCTAATTAAGGAAATGCTAAAATAAATATTTTTTTTTAAACTTGAACCTTGGTAAGTACCTAAAATATGAATTAATGTCATAATCTTATATGAATAAAAACCTGTTACACACGATAAATTCCCTGCTCAATGGGAAAGAGGTAACATAAAGAGAATACAATGTAGTTCGTAATTAGTAATTATAATCATCAAAGGATAATTACCCCCCCCCTCCCCCCCCCCAAATAAAAAAAAAAAAGATATAAAGCCAGGATGTGAGAGCTTTTCACCTATAAATATTCAAGCTGATAATATATCAAATGTTCTGACAAAGATGAGCATAAAAATAATAATAGGCAGTAATTACATAACTATGAAGGGAACAATAATTGTTCTTTTGCTCTGTGAAATTTATCCTCAAATGAAGTTGTAGGTTGGTGTCTCAAATACTTACTTTAGGTATGGCCCATGTAAATTAGGCTGGAAAAATAACAAAGGGCAAATACTCTAAAATTATGAAGTGGAGAGTTGTCATTCTTGGCATTCTTCCTGAACATGATATATCCTTAAGAGATGTTTCAAAATAATATCTATAATAATATCTATCAGTATCGCTTATCGTCCAGACAAAAAAATGCAAGAAACAAAAATAAGGATTAATTATTCAAAATAAGGAAAATAATAGTTGATGTTCTTATTCACTGCACTCCTTTCTTATAAGACCTTTTTATTTATTAAGTTTCAAGTGTTGGTATCTTGAATACAGGAATGATCCTGACAAAATTGTATACAAACTGTAATAAACTGGCAAAATAAATATAAAAACTATAAAGTGGACAATTATTTATATAATATTATATTTAAAATATTTATATTAAAAGAGATCAACCAACGAAGTTCCATGTTGAAAATTTCAAATACTTTTTGAATAATGATCCAGACAATATGAATTATGAATCATATTTCTGTCTCTCTTGACCCTAAAATAACCATAATTTTACAACACTACGCAGCTAAAGACTTTTGTGTAATGGAACAATTACCCCATGGGGTTTGTCCGCTATCATTCCTATTAAAATTTCACATGCATTTTCTGCAAGAAAAGCTACCAATGCAATAAAATATTCCATCTTCCATCGGATTTATTCCCCTTTAGTGTTTTCACGTTATTTAACATTTAGTATTTAAAACGTCAATTTTACCATTTGTATTCCAATTAAAATTTGGAGCAAATTCATCTGCCTCCATATTTTAATTATTGGAATATATCAATACTTACTTCCAAAAAAATATTTATAAAATGATTCCAGCAGTATATTGACGTCATTTTCCTTTCTTTTCACCTTAAAGGTAAAGTAGAAGTGTTTGTATGTAAATTGAATCATAAAAGATGGAAAAAGAAGAAATATTTACAGATTATAGACAGTAGTAGATTTATTTTACTGTTATAATGAAATGTTATGTTTTTTGTTTATAAATTATATTGTTGTTTTATGCCCCCACCACTAGTGGATGGGATTCACATAGTATCGCCTTTCTCCGCCAGTCAGTCCGTAGACATTTCTAGTTTTTTTGTTATCTGAAATACATGTACTGTATATGTATTAAATATGGCGGACAGTGGTGAAGCAAAATTCTAACGCCAAATGAAAAATTGCGATAAATAATTCTGTAATAGAAGTTTCCGTGTCTGCAATTCTACGGGAATATTAAGCTTACATATGTCATGCTTGACCTTCTCAAATTAAAAGTTTATGTAATATTAATTCTGTTCGCTGTATTATACACACTGTGTATTGCACATGTGTATATGTATGCTTGTAGTGCCATCATGGGCGCATAGCCATATGGAATAATGAAACAAACTCTATGGATCAGAGCTTGAATCGCCCATGTAAACTGTCATAAATTGTTTTAACACAAATGGGACGTCTGTCTTTATTATCAAATGGTTTTCACAAGAATGAAAAATATTCCATGCAACGTCAAGTCTCAAAAAGTAAAGATTGCAGACTCCAAAATGTTTTGTCCCTTAGTATTTTATTGCCTCAGATATAAAATAACACAATGTCTCAAAAACAATTTACAATACTAAACAAATAGATGAGCATCTCTTTTCATGTCACACTGGTAAAATAAAGGGAGCATATTTAAGTGTCATCTATAAATACAGGATTTATTTTCATCGAGTGAAATATGATATTTTCATACCACAAGATGAAAATGAAGCCTGTATTTACAGAAAAACTTGAATTTTCTGATTTTCTATTTATCACTAGTATATACAACGTTCTCTCTCCTTTTTTGACATTTCAATATAAAAGACTTCCCCTAAAACTGTGTATTAGCTGAATTTAGAGCAAGACATCAGTAAAATTACGTAAAAATTTTTTCACTGCAGAGAAAAATAAATATTTTTTACAGTAAATATACGGAAAACGAAAATACACATTTTATTTCATCAGTACATTTGTTAGTACAATGTATACAAGAAAAGCATTGATGCAAAGCATCAAAGGGCGACGCCAAAAGAATTTGATCCAGATTTGCACCTAAATACTTAACAAAAGATGTGTACTTTATAGCAGTACCATTACATGTGACCTGGAGGCTAGGGCCAGTTTAAGTTGAAACTTAAACCAAAAAAGAATAAACTCTGTCTTGCCAAGATGCAAAGACAATTTATAGTCAATTAAGCA